TAATACTTCAAAATTTTCCAACAAGTCAAAAACCCAGTCATACAAAGTGGTTGCATCAGGCTTATTTTAAAACACATCATAGTGTCTTGATCCTTCACCCCTATGAGAAAAAAAAAAAAAAAAAAAAAAACCAGTATCCTAACTCAAAAATTTCAACTTCTTTTCAAAGAGGCCAAATGTTTAACTTCAGATATCATAAAGAAACTTAATAGCTGCTTCCAAAAAAAATCATTTTACTTCCACTCATTCTTCAGCAACCAAACAGAGTATGGGGGTTCAAACAAATATGTTGAAAACAGAAAGTTTTTGGGTCAGAATTCAATTACCTGATGTCGGGCTAAAAGAAGACGCTCAGCTTCAGTTTCAAGCTCAATCAAATTTTGCTGGAGTTGCCTCATAGTCTCACCCATTTTTCAATCCTCAATATATTTCTCGCCTGATTGTTCATTTAAACATCTTCCAAATTAGAAAAGTTGAAACAAACACTCAACCAAGCTTCAGAAAGTACTTTACTCACTTTTTAAAACCTAAAAGAAACAATATGTTTGCTTTCAAAATTGTATTCAGATAAATGGCAGCAAGAACCATGTATGTTGACTACAAATTCAAGTGGAAAGCATATATCGAATCCCCAAGTCATATACAAAAGAAAAGGAGAGAGATTAGAGAAATAGAAAACAACAAATTAATTATGAATTTAGTCAAAGAATAGGTCAAACAAATATTTACACCTTCTGTATACTCACCTAAAACCCTAATTAGAATTTAATCCAAAAATATTCCTACACTTTTGAGAGGGAGCATAAATATTTAGATTGAAATTCAAAGGCATAAATGACAATTACAAAATCTCTACATTAAACATTAGATAAATATAAACCATAGACGCAAAATCACAACACCCCCGTCTTCAAATGCACAGAAAATATAATTAAAAAGCCAATCAAACTTAAATTCACGACAAAAAATAGAAAATCTCACCGGTCGGCGTTGCCGTGGAACAGCTTACGTTGGATTCCCCTTCGCCTTCGCCGTCGTAGTCGTGAGGAAGAGGGTTCAAATCTGGGAGCGTAGGGGTGGGTAACTTAGAAACTGGAATAGCAAGAAAAATTCTTAACGGTATCTTTGAAACTTAGGCGCTAAATGCACTTCTCAGTGGTCTTTCGTCATTACCTTCTTTTATAGCCCTAAATGCGGGTGTGTAATATTGAAACGTACACGCGCATGGCTTTGCGCTTAGATTACGGTTTTAGTACATGGTGCACGCGCGTGGCTTTCCTTTTCCTAGACCCATTTCAAGCTGTTAAAAACGTGGTCGAATGTAGAGTTTGGATTAATCGTGATAAGATTTTTGAAAAATTGAAAGTCCGATTTCAATTTGGACCAAATAATTTACTACATTATATTGTGCGGTCAATCCCCAGTCACCTACATGTCATTTTATTTATAATATATATGCCGAGCCACCTTTAAAAATCTTTAGGTTGTACTTTTCAGATTCCGCATCACATAATATATTCCATACAAGTTCTTCAAGCAAGTTTCATAAAGATCTTACGTACTTCTGATTGATGGGAATCAAAGCATTAACACATTAAAACAATAATTAAGTAAAACAATATTTAAGTAAAACAATAATCATTATATTATAAATAAAAGAAAGACCATCCCCTTCCAATAACACAAATAACAACTGCAAGAAAGAAGGGATGCTTATTATTACATTAACTAAGATTAGAACAAGAGGGTCCTTGTTTTTATTTTTAATAAACTTATTGTCTATATAATATTTCCTACTAGAAGAGGAGTACAGCGTCAATTGCAAGTTGAGTTTCAATTGAGGCACGAATAGGCCAATGATTTCTCCTCGACCAATTCTTTAGCTGTTGCATCCATCTTTGCCCTTGAGAATTCATCTATCTTGAGACCTGCAATTTCAGTAAACATATGTTTTAGTATTGTAAAAATTTTTAGCTTCTAAAACATTATTCAGTTAATAAACTTACCCTGCACAATTGACCATTCTCCGTTTTCACATGTAACAGGAAATGAATAGATAAGGCCTTTTTGGATGCCATAAGATCCGTCAGAATACACTCCCATGGAAACCCAAGTCCCCTTAATCAAACATGCAGAGGAAAACAAATAAATTATGCTAGTACAGAAAAATAGAAGAAATGGATTCTGCATACAATTTAAGATGAGGATATAACCAACCTTTGGAGTGCCTAAAACCCAATCACGAATATGATCACAAGCAGAACTTGCAGCAGAGAGAGCACTTGATAGCTTCCTAGCTTTGATAATGGCAGCGCCACGTTGCTGCACAGTGGTGATGAATTCGGAATTCAACCTACGACAAAAATAAAAATGAAAAAAGTTAGAAAAATGATGAATAAAACAGGTAGAAATTAAGTAACATTTTAGCTACCAATTATCATCCGCAACAATTTCTTTGACAGGCTTCTCCCCATTGTTAGAGGCCACAGTTGCATGATTGACATCAGGATACTGAGTAGAAGAATGATTGCCCCATATGATCGCATTCTTCACATCGCTAACATGAACCTTCAGCCTTTCAGAGATTTGGCCCAATGCTCTGTTGTGATCAAGACGTGTAAGACATGTGATGTTTTTCTCTGGGATTGAAGGTGCGAATTCTTTCAAAATCAGTGCATTGGTGTTTGCAGGGTTCGCTACGACTAACACCTGTTTATAAATAATGAGAAAAATAAGACAACTTCATGGGGAGAAATATAAGAATTAATCATTTAATGTAAGGGTTTCATGTCTTTCACCTTGCAATTTGGAGCGGCATGCTTCTCCAAAGCTGAAGCTTGAGCTTTGTAAATTGATACATTTTTAGACATAACATCCTTCCTTTCCATACCTTCCTTTCGTGGGAATCCACCAACCATGACAGCAATATTGACATCTTTACAGGCTTCAACAACGTCCGAAGTAGCAACAACACCTTTAAGAAGAGGAAAGGCAGCGTCTACCAATTCCATTTTCACCCCATTCAAGGCCTCAGCTGCAGGCTCAATATCGAGCATGTGCAGGATTACTGGTTGATCAGGACCTAGCATGACCCCCCTGGCGATCATTGGAACAAGAGCATACCCTATTTGCCCTGTTCAACATTATTCAAATTAATACATACACATTAAATGTTGGTCAAATAATAAACAACAAAGTTAGGAGAGATATGAGGTTTGACTTTTGGGAAAACACTGTATCATCGGCGGCTTTAGATTTTCGATCTGTTAGCCCATGCATGATGACGACTTAAGGATTAAATAATTTCGACAAGGAATTAAAAAAAAAAAAAAAACTGATTTTGTTTTTTTTTTTTTTTTCAAGAAAAATAGATTTCAAATAGCTTGCCTGCAGCCCCAGCGACCAATATTGTAATGGGTTCCTTTGGTACATTTAGGAAACTTGCCATGTGCTTTATAATCTTCCAAAACAACGAAATACAAAACAAAACAACCAGAATTTTCTGAAGGAGTACAATGTAAAAGTAATCCATTTCTCAAAACAAAAAGAACCACAAATCTTCCTGTTAAAATCAGGAAACTAACTGTCGTCCATATATGTACAAAGATACAATATTATTTAAGTCTACGAATCTCTACACACACCTCAGCAATACGGCAATGAGATACCAAAATGAAGTCTACAAGCCATGAAAATGTACAGAAACATCATTCACTCCAAAGCAAAGCACCCACCTTTTACAAAATACCTTTGCCAAGAAAACTTAATGATGAATATGGAAAAAGAATAAGATTAAAATATACTGTCATGTTTGTTTTAAGACTTAATTCAGAAGATTGAAATATTCAGCATACGTGTTTGAAATTATAGAAAGGGAAGAAGTAGTAGTAGAAAAGAAAGAGTACCAGCAGCGCCAGTGACTAGAACTCTCATTGGGTTCTTGGCCATTGTTGTGGAAAGATTGATGTTTTGGAGGGTGGGAATGGAACAATGATGATGAATAGGAGAGGTTGGATCGGATTAAGAAGGGTGATTTGCTTAGATATAGAGAGAAAAAGATATGAGATTGAAAGATAAGGAAATAGGATCGAGGATAAAGATAGGGTTGTGAGGTGTGACAGGGATGATGAATCTTCTAACTTTTGCAGTTGATGGAAGTGTCAGCTGCGAAATGGAAGGAAAGTTTGTTTTCATATCATCTCCGTGCACCCTCCACTCCGCACCATCTCTCCACTTGGCCTGTTTCTTTGCGTTTTATGTATTTACTATGATCAAAATTATGAATATTGAACTATCAAATTTTACTCTGTATTTTAATTTTAATTAATAAATTATAAATTTATATACATTTTATTTATTAATTCTTCTCTTGTTAAATCTCTTTCTTGAAGAAGCATACTCTCTCTATTAAAATTTAAAAATTATTTTTTATATTTAGAAATTAATAAAGAAATAAACATGCTCATAAGAGTGAGATTTCATTCATACTTTATAAGTTGTATTTGTGCGCATAAAAAAACACATAAAACAATAAAAAACAGTAAATGTAGAATTTGCATGAAACATCCTAACCATTTCTAAAATCTCTGTCTTGTGTTATTATTATGCTTTTATTTCATTCATTAATCCAACATTAGAATCATGAGTCTTATAAGACCTCTTACGTATCAAGGATATTTAAGTACTTCGTGTTGATGCGAGAAATTGCATCAATAAGTTCCTTGTTGAGATGTAACAAGTTAAAACAATCTTTCAAAAGATATATAGAATTACATATTATTAAGTGTACAAAATTTTAAATAGAAAATAATTTTAATATAAGGTTTTTAAGTGCTTATTCACCTTTGAAATAGTTAATAATATATAGTATCTACCAATGAAAAATTCAGATTAATATTGTGAAATTAAATAAATCTAAAATTTGTTTTGAAATTAAAAAATTATAATTTTTATTTTAATGTCAAGATTTAAACGGTAATATGTTCAAAACCGAAGCAAACCGTGTACAACATGAAGCCTAAACCGGGTATAAAAACGTTGATGATAATATTATATAGAGTAAACGACCCGTTCCCCCCAAGGTTTATTGACAGCACAATTTCCCACCCCTGGTTTCATGAATTCCACATTCCCACCCTTAAATTAACCAAAAATCATTTAACATAACGGTTAGAGGGTATTTACGTCTTTTTACCAAAATTTTCTCACAACCCCATTTTCAACTCCACCGCCACCAACCCACTACCATCCCTTCGCCGCCTCAAATACCATCTCCCGACCGCCTCAAAACCCAAATCATCACCCAATCGCTAGAAAACCCACACTAACTCCCAGTTGCCACAAAACCCACACCATCTCCCAACTACAGCAAAACCCATCTAAGCGACTTTTTGCCTTCCACAGCCGTGGGACTTTTCGGCCAGCCTTCGGTGCCAACCTGTCGACAAACATCGCCACCCACATCATAACCCCATCACAAGCACCACAACCCAATCATCATTTAACTCAACCAAGCCCTAGGGAAAGGGCCTTCAATCAACGGTGAAAAGAGGGTGAACAGGGTTGAGAAATATGAGGGTTTTGGAGAAGGCGGCCCGGTGAGTCGAATGGCTGGGTGGGGGATGATTTATAGTGGCAAGGGCGGCCGGAAAAAGGTTGGGAAGTTGGGCAAAAAACACAAAACCCAAACGGGAATGGGAATGGGTGGTTTGGAATGGGACGGTATAGGGGTAGTTTTGTAATAGCACTTGTCGGAGCTCAACAGTCACTAACAGAGTCACTTTAACTCATTAAGGGTGAGAATATGGAATAAATGGAATCAGGGGTGAAAACTTGCTATTTCACTTATCTTTGGGTGGGAACATGTCGTTCGCTTTGTTATATATATGCAATGGCTACTTGGCAAGCCCGTTCTGATAAGAGCAACTGAGGAGAGAGAGAAGAGAATGCAAAGCTTCAAGGCATCAATTGTAAGGCGTTGTGGCCACACTTTACGAGCTCTCACTCTATACCGGACTCTTTCTTCTCTTCCAGAAAACATTCTTAATGATGATCTTGACAATCAAGTAAGTTAACCTCAATTCAGTGCGTAATTTTTTTTTTTTTTTTTTAAGCATTCAATTAATTTAATTTTCTCTTTATAACTTATAGGTATTAGCGGAAGGTAGAGCTAGTTCTCGGATGGCGATTCTTAACAGACCCTCGGTTCTCAATGCTCTCAACAGAAATATGGTGTGGTATTCGTTTCTAATTTTTTTTGTTTATTTGTTTATTTTACACTTCGTTTTCAATACATGTTTATTAAAGTTGTATCATCTAGTTTTCTTTTTTTCACCTTGAATTTTTTTTTTATATGGTATTTAGGGGGTAAGTTGAATAGCCTCTATAAATGTTGGAAGATGATCCAGTATCGGTTTTTGTGATGAGGTGTAATTCTTCGTTGATTTTTTCAATTTTTAGATTCAAGTTTTAACTTGTATATCGTTCGATGTTAATAATAATTTTGGTTTATTCATCGCTAAGGAATAATTTTGAATTTTTGAAGGGCATGGTGTCGGGCGTTTTGTGCTGGTGAGATATTGTTGCACTCTATCATTTGATCAACCAAGGTGGCCCCATTTTTGTTACACTACTCAGTCTATTCTCCGTATGGTATAGTTAAAGGAATTTATTGTTGCCCTTATGTTACGGATAAATGCTTTTGTTTTGAATAATATATTTCTACATTTTCAATGATTATTTGCAGAAAGTTGGCATCACATAGTCAGGTAACAAAAGATGGATTGAAAGACTTTAGGATTAGAAAGTTTGAGATAAAACCAGGTTGTTATATATTGCTATAGAGAGGAAATCTGTGCTTTGTGGTTTCTTGATCTTGTTTGCCTCAAGTTCTTATATTTGACGTTTGTTTCATGTTTTTAATGGCTGACTTGCGTTTAGGATTGCCTGCTGTGGTATTATATTTTATTTTACCTTGTTGTTTATCCCACATTGGAATGGAGAGGACAAATGGGTGATAAAATGGATATATATCTCTATAGATATATATTGGTAAATGTTTATTTATTCACATGAGTTGATTCATAATTTTATACAATCATTCAATAGTTTGTTCTCTGTGCAGGGAAGCTTGAAGAGAGTAAGAACTTCTTTAGGACACTATATAGTTTCATATACTTGCTAGGCACCTATTTGAAGCCACATGTGAGTAAGAACTTCTTTAACAATCAGAACATGTTTCTAGAATATCAGTAACCTACTAATTGTTATACAACCCTTTAGGGTTGTTTTTTGTAGTTTGTTATTGATTGTTTAATCTAATTTTGACATAATAATATATGCAGAACTTCTTTTATATATGAACACTATAGAAAGACATTTTGATTAGTTTATGACTTCTTATGCTGCTTATTTATCTTTGTTTCCCTCTTTCTAATGACTGAGGTCCGACATTATTTATTTTTCTTCATATATTACTCTTTTGCCCCTTAATGTGTTTTGCTTTTGGTACTGTACTAATCATATAGAGATCACTAAATCTGACTTTACTATCCTACATCATTATGGTCTGTATTTAAATCCCTTCCTAAGAATAATCTTAGTTCAATACAGAAAGTGTCATGGTTAGGTAAACTATCATCTTTATTTACTTATATATCTTTCTAGAAGGAGAGTAATTTCCTGTAATCCATGTTTTTTGTGGTTGGAACTTATAATCAGTTAAGTCTTGTTATCTTTCTAATTTAAGTGTATGAGTGTTAACCAGTATAGTGAAGTTAGCATTTAATTTATCTTTGTGTAGGTGGCTATTTTGAATGGCATTACTATGGGCGGCGGGGCTGGAGTTTCCATACCTGGGACATTCCGGATTGCCTCTGGTAGAACTGTATGTTATTGGGATACATGTCTCTTTCTTCTTAACCCTTTAATTTAGTTTTGATGATGCACCACATGAATTTAACTACATGGTCTTTGAAGTCAACTGACAGTTTATATTAATAATTTGCAGGTTTTTGCAACCCCAGAAACTCTAATTGGTTTTCACCCTGATGCTGGCGCATCCTTTTACCTCTCACATCTACCTGGTCACTTAGGTATTTTTGGTGCATATTGGTCTTTTATGCATATTTAACTTGTCCACTTTTGCAGCAAATTATTGCATTTAACTAAGTTGTTCATGATTTGTTTGATATGAAGATTTATATTTTCAGTTGTGTTGTTTGCCATTCTGATCCTGGTAATTTTACAAGTGTAGGGAGATTAATTTAATGCAATTTCAAGGGAGTTATCATCAACCAACAAAACCCTCTTGAACATTAAGTTATTGAAAATTTTGTTTTAACATGTGCTTCTGTTAGATATTTTTCTGATAATTTCCAGTACAGTGATCTTTAATGTCTCTAGGAGCATGTATTGTGTACTTCTTCCATAAATTTACTTGTTTCACTTTTATAATACTGTCCAAGTAAGGTATTACAGGTATTGGATGCTATGATGGGTTTATGGTTTGCTTGGCTTGAGATGTTGGATCATTAGTAACTTTTTGACATAGTATGAGCCACATTCAAGTTTTATGGGTAACAGTTGGTTGCTAACTTGATTTCTGAATGAGCGTCTGAAAGTCTAGCTTTTTGAGCCTGAAATCTGTTTTGAAGTCTAACTCTGTCAAGCAAGAAACTGTTTAGTCCCTCCACCTCCTTCCTATTCTGTGAATTGCATTAGGTAGGTTGTCTTTCTTTTGGGATCTGGTTCAGAACGGCATCCCAATAAATTTGAAGTTTGATTTTTGCAGGGGAGTATTTAGCTCTGACAGGGGAAAAACTCAATCCAGCAGAAATGATGGCTTGTGGGCTAGCTACACATTATTCTCTCAGTGAAGTTAGTTTTACTGGTCCCTTATCTTTCTTCCAATTTACTTACATTTCCTGGTAGTATTATTATCTTTATTTTTGTTCGTTTTTCCTTTACCAACAGAGACTCCCATTAATTGAAGAAGCGCTTGGGAAATTGGTAACTGATGATCCTTCTGTCATTGAAGCATGCTTGGAAAAATACTGTGACATTGTCCATCCAGACCAGATGAGTGTAGTTCACAGGTATAAATTTACATGGTACCTAGATTGTGGAAGTTAATTTTGATTTAACTTTGTTGGAACCACCAACTTGTCTTTCCTTTCACCACAAACACAGTGGAATGTCAAATTTCCATCTTTGGTGTTTTTGAAATCAATGTGAATCTTTGTTTGTATGGTGTATTCAATTATGTGATAACCAGTTGTCTCGTTTGGTCAGGATTGAAATACTTGACAAATGTTTCAGCCTTGACACAGTGGAAGAAATTATTGATTCTTTGGTAAGCACACATATTATAGGACATAATGACTCGTTTATCTGCTCGTAGACTACTGCATTTCACTCTGGAAAGTATTATTTTAAGGGAGCAGACTTCTATATAAAAACTTTGGATTAAACATGGTCTGCTATTTGCATAACAGATAAATGAAAATGCTAAAAGGAAAAAAAGTGAAAAGAAATCTTCATTAAGTTGAAACAAATATGACATAATAACTTTTCTCAGGAACGCGAGGCAGCTGAAACAAATGATGCTTGGTGCAGTTCCACTTTAAGAAGACTTAAAGAAGCCTCACCACTGAGCTTGAAGGTTTCCTTGAGATCTGTGAGTCACTCGTTCTCTTTTCACTTTTTTATTTTGCGTTGAGAGTTTGTATCTTATTTTAGGTTGCGGTTGGAAAATCTTTGCATTGTCATCTGATAAATGTTGTTGACGGGTCAGATACGAAAAGGTAGATTTGAGACCTTTGATCAAAGCTTGGTCCGTGAATACCGAATGTCATTACAAGGGATATCTAAGCAAATTTCTGGTGATTTTTGTGAGGTATACGCTATTTTGATTTTCCAACTAATGAACGAAAATATTTATGGTTTTTTTCACTACATTGTTCCTATAATTCCTTGCCAGGGAATTCGTGCACGAATGGTGGAGAAGGACCTTGCCCCAAAGGTAGGTATTAAAAGATATTATTACCTTCCTATGAGGGTATTTGATGAATTTATAAAGATGGATTTTGAGAATAAACATGATATTAAATTTCAAATTGAATAATGATAGTAATACGTAATTTAGGGAGTGTTAGATTCTCATGGTTTTCAAAATGTGCAGTGGAGTCCTCCAAGTCTGGAACAGGTGTCGGAAGATATGGTTGATTGCTATTTTTCCCCACTTAGTGAATCTGAGCCTGATCTAGAGCTGCCCACAAAACTGCGAGAAGCTTTTAATTAGTTTCAAAGCTTAGAAGCTTCACTCTCAGGAGGTATAGGTTTTGTCTGCACGATCAGGACAGCATAATAGTTTCTAAAATCAGTTATTGTCTATATTAGCCAATTGTTTCCGTATTCTTTAAGAAAAATCTATTAAGTTGCATTTAAATCTATGGTTAAAATAAATTCCCAGCAAGAGAATTAATAATGCTGGATTATCAGAGCCCTTTTTGGTTAAAAGAACAAAAAATTAGGAATTTTTGGAGTGTTTACGACTTCCTGATCAATTCTTGTGCGCTCTAGCTTAGGGGTGTTTAACCAATTCTATAAATCAAACTGGTTTTTTAGTTTAAGAATTTTTCTGAACCAAAATTGATCGGATATCAAAAAACCGGTTAACCAATTTTAATTTAATATTTAACATTTTTATAATAAACTAATTAATAAAATCGGTTTTCATATTCTTACAAACAGATAACCGAACAGAAAATTTGGTTTTATTTTCTTTAAACCAAAACCAAACTGGTTTTTCGGATAATCGAAAATTTAGTTAGATTCAGTTTTTACATTTTTTTAATACCTAGCTTTCTAATTTCCACAAAGCAGCAGCGCTTTACAACGCCACAATGTAGATAGATAACTCCTAGGAGGTAATTTTTTCATTAAGAAAACCTTTTACTGCAAAATGTCATATTTGTTTGTATTGATTTGACTTGGGAAAGAACCTAGAACACGCGTAACTATTGGTCACGGTTGCCTGCATATGTTCAATCCACCTAATCAGGCAGTTCTTATTGTGTTTTTCAAAATTTTGGTGACCACTACAAGGACCAACCGCCTAAATAAATATCACATACACTCAATAAATTAATTGAAACTGTATTATTAGTGATTCAGGCCAAAAAAATAAATGTAGGGGCATGTCCAGTAGCAAGCCTCAGTTATTCAGCTCCCCTGCTGGCTTTGTAAGTGTTCACTAATTGCGTCTGCACATCATGAGAAACCGGTGAGTGTTCTTTGTATTCCATCGTGAATTCACCTTTACCCTGCAGATAAAAGAATCAACCAATTACAGACTACAATTTTATTAGGTATGATTCAGCAACAAGTGCTAGAGAAATGTTTTCGACGTTACTTGTGTCATTGAACGAAGAGATGTCGAATATCCAAACATATTGTTCAGAGGAACCTGAAAAGACCAAAAGAGACATTCTCAACAGGTGAGTACGAGTCAAGATAAGTTCGTATAAATAAATCACTTTCACCCGAGAGAAACAAAAAAAAAATGCTTACATGAGCAGTAATTACTGAGTCATCACCCTCTTGGTCATTTCCAATAATCACACCTTTCCTCCTACAGTATGCCCAGAAGTGCAGAAATTTTCAGATACAAAATTCAATAAGAATGTTCCCACTAATATTCTAATACAAAAGATCGATGAGAAACTCACTTGTTGATATCACCAGCAACGCTGCCCTGAAATTCCGTGGGTACTTTCAACTCCACCAACATAATGGGTTCCAATATTGTAGGTCTTGCAGCTGCATAGCACTGTTTCATAAATAAAAAATTGGAAATTTTAGTAGATATTTCGGAGGAAAAAAGCATCACAGAAATTAAAAATAAGGCCCAATGGCCAAAAAAGGGGGATGAGAAGGACCTGTCTAAAAGCATATATTGCAGCTAACTTAAATGCAAGTTCACTAGAATCCACGGCATGGGAAGCACCATCAGTTAAAACAACACGAAGATTTTCAACTGGATGTCCGATTAATGAACCCCTGTAAATTGCAAGCAGAAATAGATCAATAGAACATAACATATGATTAAAACAAGAAGCGAAGATCATCATTATAACCTCATCTTAATATAAGCCACCACGGCAAAACCAGAAGTAAAATCAATGTTATAGTCAGCCACCAACTTTAATATATGTATCAAAAAGGTAAAGGGAATCAAAACTCACGAATTGGCAGCTTCTTTAAAACCCTTCTCGATTGCAGGTACAAAACTTGATGGAATAGCTTGTCCCACAAGCAAGTTTTCAAATTCAAACTTAGTTGGCGAGCCTGGAGGAAGTGGTTCAATATACCTACCAAAATAAAGAAAAGAGAATTTCATCAGCAAGAATGACATAAGTGTATAAGGCTGCTTCACACCACAACCAGCAGACCCTTTGCCAGCACGAGACCAAAACTTCCTGGTGCAGCAAGGTTTAATTCAGCGTGCAGGTGCTATATATACAAATCATATATGGCAGGTGTTCATGACAGCCAAACTAGTTATTAATAAATCCAGCTCCTTGTCCACAGTTAAAAAATTGGGTTTGTTAGGGGTCCCAAAATGAGATGGATAAAAGATGCATCTATAATACCCCACAATCAGATAAACAGACATTGATATAAAATTCAAGTGGCTCCGAAAAATCAAGCGGTCAGTAATAACTTACCCACAAACTCGTCCATATTGACCTTGTCCTCCAGATTGTTTCTTATGTAAATAATCAAATTCAGCACGATTTGTAACAGTCTCTCTGAAGTTAACACGAGGCTTTCCAACAGTTGCATCAACCTATTCGAAGAAATCAGATAAAACTTCAGCAAGGTGCAATTGTTCAATAAGCCATAGTATCCAAACCTCCCATATAATTATTGAACAATGACAAAGCGTATGGCACCTTATACTCTCTACGGATGCGCTCAACATAAATGTCTAGGTGCAGCTCTCCCATTCCAGAAATAATTGTCTGCTCAAAAAAGCATAAACTATAATGTTAATAAATTATACAAATATATTCTATATAAAAAATAAATTTTGCAACCCAGACCTGCCCACTCTCAGCATCCAAGCCAACACGGAAGGTGGGATCCTCTCTTTGAAAACGGTTCAATGCTTTAGAGAACTATTACAAGAAAAAAAAAAATAATGATTATAATTCATTTGATATTGCACACAAAGCAATAGATTAAAAACTAAGCTACTTACTTGTCCTCCAGAATCCTTTGAAACTGGTTGAACAGCAAGCGACATTACTGGTTCAGGAACATTCATAGAAGTCATGGTGTATTTAACAGACCCATCAGTAAATGTGTCCCCTGATTGCCCAAAAGCACATATCATAAGAAAATGTTGAGAGTGAAACAAAATAAAGAAGATTATCCAAGTGCATAAGACGTCCAAAATCAATAAACCCCCATACCAACTATAGCGCATAAGACATTAACCAAGTAACGGTTTTCATACACTAAAGCTTATGCTGACATTTGGAAATTCAAACCCTTCATCCCAACTAAAAAAACTTATCAAAGTCCAGTTAAATTTTTAAAAACTTGTTCTTCTCATACTTATCACATCGTAAAAGTAATCAACAAAGAAAAAGGGAAACTTATGCGTTAGCTTGTTTATGCAAAAGAGAGATTGGGACCTGATGCACAATCCACACCAAAGACAGCAACTATTTGCCCAGCATGTGCCTCTTGAATGTCCTGTGGATAAAATAAATAAATAAACAAAGAAAAAACAATATTAAATCACAATATTTCAAGTTCAAAAATAATAAATATGCTTGGTTTCCATAAATTATATAGAAATGTAAGGTGCTCCATTATATAACTAAGATGAATGAAGCCAAGTTAAGAAAGAAAAAAAAAAAGAAAAGAAAAGACCTCCATCTCATCAGAATGCATCCGCACCAAACGAGGAACCTGTCCAAAACAATGTTATAGCTTTAGAAATTACATTCAAGAACCATTAGTTAAGAGTATCAGACAATCTTGGCACACAAAATTTTGAAATAATTTAGCCATCCAATACTCTGATAGCTATGCGCATATATAAAAATCTTAAAGATACCAGCCTTCTTATTCAAATGCACTTGTTCCGACAAAAGTAGACCAAATAGTTTTTTTGCACCATGCAACAAACAACCAATTATGTCAATAAAGTTTCTGATGCTACCTACATTTCTTTGAGCTGAGACACCTTGAATGGCACAGTGAAACCATCATAATATGAGGACAATTAAATTTTCACAGAGCCTATTTCCCAAGATGGATCACAAACAATGATATAATACTTTTGTTTTAGTAATAGTTTAAAATGATTGTGTGGTGGCAGAATTTTGGCTCTTACTCTTCTTTCCTCAAAATCAAATTTCCAAATAAGTGGCCTGCAAGATATATAGATGCAACTACTGTAATTTGAAATAACATGCCTTGAGCTCACCTTAATCCTCTTGCCAGTATTTACATTTATTATGAAATCACCCTTCCGAATCACACCCTCATAAATTCTACAACCGTCAACAAGGAATTACAGTTAGCAACTTAGCATAAATTTTTCATCCACAAATGGATTAATACCAAGACAAAAAATTGATGAAAATTTAACTGCACTCAACTCACAGAGGTATGAAAATACTTGGTACAACTTCTTAGGCATACCTTAAATATGTCAATTGACCAAAGCGTCCTTCCTCCAACTTAAAAGCCAGTGCCACAAGGGGTCCATCCGGATTTCCAGCTAATATAACCTACAAGAGAATAGAAAAACTTAATTCCCCAACCAGTTATTTTAAAAAAATATTGGGACCAAAATCAGGGTCAAATTTTCAGTCAAATAAAATACCTTCTCTTCATTCTTTTTCTGGTCAAGAGCATAGTTACTAACTTCATGAGGACATGGTAAATAACTAAGTACACCATTCAGAAGTGGTTGCACTCCCTGTCATCCAAGAAAGGCAGTAAATAACAAGAACATCGGATTTACATTGTTCAGTTCTATACAAGGAAAAGAGTGTAATCTCAATTATCATAACTTATAACAACTTGCATACCATCCAAAGGTGATAAAAAGAAAAAAAGAAAAACAAGTATCGAATATACCTTGTTCTTGAATGCACTACCCATAAATACAGGTATAAACTTTCGTGCTATGGTGGCCCTGCGAATTGCTTCCTACTCAAAAGGAAAAGAAATTAGATTTCAGTGGCACAAATCAAAGTCACCTCATTCTTTTTCACATAGCATATTATTTCCATTTTTCCGCAAACCTCAAGATCAGTTGCCGATATAGGCTCATCATTGAGAAACACATCAGCAAGTTTATCATCAACATCGGACACTGTTTCAATTAGTTCACGCCTCTTTTCTGCAACAAATGCCTCCATATCAGCTGGTATTTCTGCAGACACAACTTTTTCCCTGTAATAGGCAACAATAATAAGCATAGAAGGATGTATATACAAGGCAACATACATATGCAAACTGCACAGCTTAAGAAACAGACCCACTGGAACCCTGAAAATGATAAGCTTTTAACTGCACAAGATCAACAAGGCCCTCAAAATCCTCTTCCAATCCCATAGGAACTTGCACAGCAGCACAATGGTGCCGTAGCTTAGACCTCGCCTATATAAGATACCAATCTAATCAGTGAGTCAACACATAATATACATTGTGCTTTCAAATGTAAGTACGGATACCGGTTAAGATAGTTAAAAACCTCTAAAAAGCTTATATATACAGCTGACTAAAAGATTTCATTAAAATTTAGTTGTATCAAAGGTCAATAATGGCATTCAAATGCACCTGGCTGAGAACTTTCCAAGGGTCAGCTCCCATTCGATCAAGTTTGTTAATAAAGGCAAGTCTTGGAACTTCGTATCTCCTCATTTGGCGGTCGACTGTAATTGACTGACTTTGCACACCACCAACACTACAAAGGACAAGAATGGCACCATCAAGAACNTTAACTGCACAAGATCAACAAGGCCCTCAAAATCCTCTTCCAATCCCATAGGAACTTGCACAGCAGCACATTGGTGCCGTAGCTTAGACCTCGCCTATATAAGATACCAATCTAATCAGTGAGTCAACACATAATATACATTGTGCTTTCAAATGTAAGTACGGATACCGGTTAAGATAGTTAAAAACCTCTAAAAAGCTTATACATACAGCTGACTAAAAGATTTCATTAAAATTTAGTTGTATCAAAGGTCAATAATGGCATTCAAATGCACCTGGCTGAGAACTTTCCAAGGGTCAGCTCCCATTCGATCAAGTTTGTTAATAAAGGCAAGTCTTGGAACTTCGTATCTCCTCATTTGGCGGTCGACCGTAATTGACTGACTTTGCACACCACCAACACTACAAAGGACAAGAATGGCACCATCAAGAACACGTAAAGCCCTCTCAACTTCAATGGTAAAATCAACGTGTCCAGGAGTGTCAATAATATTAATCTGCAACCACAAACAGATTCAATTAATCCTCATTCAAGTCAAAATCCCAAGGGTGGGGCTATTGTCATCCGTAGAAACACTCCACACACGTTTTGCTAAACATACATTTCCTTCCTCAACTTTCAACCAGATTTTTTTATTTTATTGTCTTCGAATTCAATTACATTTTTAATCCATTGATTTTAAGTTAAAATGGTGAAACTATAAGAAGTCAAAAAAATTATTTTTAAAAGTTTAAAAACAGAGTATATTGGTTATTGAAAGTAGCTTTCAGGTGCGAATAGCAACATCCAACCATAATTTGTTGTTCCGTTTACCTGGTAACCGCTCCAAGTACAGTAAGTGGCGGCAGACTGAATTGTGATACCCTTCTCTCGTTCCAAATCCATAGAATCCATCTTAGCCCCAACACCATCTCGGCCACGAACCTCATGGATCTCATGAATTTTTCCAGTATAATACAAAATTCTCTCCGTCAACGTGGTCTTTCCGGAATCGATGTGCGCGGAGATTCCGATATTTCTGAGGTGCTCCATCGAGTCCTTCCACCATGGTTCCTTGTCCTCCTTGGCGCGTGCGAGGTTCCCTCCGGCCGAGAATTGTCGTAACTGGAGGTGGAAGTTTCCTAGGAGGAGGGCAGTGGTCGGTGACGGTGATGAGGAATGAGACGGAGTCGTCTTGGAAGAGGAGAAGAGGGTGTATAGAAGTCGTGGTGTGGTGGATCTAGGGAATCGAGCCATGGTGGGGAGTATAAAACCCTAAACCCTAAGCTGCGTTAGGAGTTCGGGGGTTTTAGATTTTGGAGACGACTACTGGACTGTTATTTTGGGGCGGGTTGGTTAAGAACTTAAAACTTCCGGGTCTCGGGTATTATTTTTATAAATAATAATAATAATCTCTCAATAAATAATAATAATAATATATCTCTCAATTTGGTTTTACTAAATGATCAAATTTGCATCAACTCAGAGGTTTGCATACGTATCCGCATGAAATCTTCATACAATCAAATAGAGGTCCCAAGTATTAATGCCCCAGAAAGATAATAAACCAGTCACCTTATCATGCGCTACTGTAATTCTCCAGTGTTGATAATGCTTTGCTGAAAAATCAGAACTGTTGTTAGAAATCCCAGAAGCTCATTATGCTGCTGAATGGAAACTATTTTGTAATTTCATTTTATTCTTTTTCTGCAGAGATTACAATCAAAATAAAAGACTAAAAAATACATATCAGAATTGCACTATGCTATCTGAACTGTGGCTTGCTTGATTGATGTTTACTGAAGTTGAAAATATAAAGACCTTAATCTTGGTACTAGATAGCAGAACAAAACAAGCAAGTTTGACAAATATAAGAATTTCATCACTAGCAGCTTATCCGGAGTTCCTGCACAAGTCAATAATCCTTTCATTTATCATTTTTCTGGCAGCAACTCCTTGTGAATTCTGTATATATCCACTGTAAAATCCTACACTGGCTGCAACTGCAACTCCAAATTGCGATGTTCATCATTTGAAGATGGTGCAGATTGGGCAGACTGATTGTTCTCACCAGAGTTCATCTCTTGAACTGGTGGAGGGTTAACAACAGCCTCTTGACTAAGTGTATTCTCAGCTAGATGGTTCTTCATCTCCCTGTGCTCTTGACACAAAGCACACCAATGCATGCAGCAATGAACCATGCATGGATCACATGGTGAGTTCTGCAAAGCAGCAGCATAATGAGTAAACAAACAGCATATGCATCTAAGTCTTGAATTTGTAGCTATCTATAAATTAGGATAGGTCATTGGCTCCTATGATAATATATCTAATTTTTTAAGTACCAAATCCAGGCAAGCAAAACTAAGAGACAGGAAACTATAAAGGCTCAGATACACTCTTTCTCAAGAATGATTTATAAATAAAGTTTACCTTTAAGTTAAATTGGAAGGATTATATCTTATGCTACCCAACTTTGAAAGCATTCAGCAAAGAAAGAGAAAGGATGATAATCTGAAAAAAGAACTGATGCCAGAGGAGAGACTAAAGATGATAGATTTAAAGTCTACACCAATAAACCAGCTAGTTCACTCTACTTGAAAACATTAAATTACAATAAAAAGACAAACTAAAATTTGCAGCACATCCATGGCCTTAATGCTACTTCAAGATAATGCATGTTCAAGCACTTACTCCTGTTCTTGTACAAAACTATTCTTGTTTAAAGTATTAAAATCTCAGCTATCAACTCTAAGAAAATAACCTTGAGGTGATATTTCTTCTGTAATGATTGTCGAAACAGACCAGTATAGATGCCACACATCCACCAAGCAAACAGCAGGCCCTCGCATATGAGGAATGAAGTCTTGGGGTCAACTCCATGGAAGAGTGCAGTTGCCGCTGCAAGTGTCAATCCACCTTCAATGCACATGGCATGACAAACACATGCATTGGTCCAAGGAATTTCTTCTCTCAATGTTTCAACATTATGACCGAACAACACGCATGGGCAAAAGAGTCCAGTGCAGCCTGTCAAACAACATTAAAAACTTCAATGTGATTAACAATTATGATAAAAGATCAAATGTGCTGTAGTAAGGAATTAAGTTTGGAATATTGTCACCATTCGCCAGTAACATTATCCCACAAATAAACACTGTAATATCATCATCTGAACGGTGAATTCAATCAGTAACTTTCATCCCAGTCTTGATTCTTTCCTAATCCTTAATATTCTCATAAACGCTTCATTTACATCCTAGTCACCTTTCTGTGATTCCAACTATACAATCAATGTTACTCTTTCATAGTTCTTTATCTAACTTAAAACAATTGAGGAAGGATGGATTATATGTTTCAATAGATGCCAGAACTAAAATTCATAAATTAGGTGATATGTCAGCATGTGACTGTAAAATTCATAACAGCACGGGTAACGAGACTCTTACAACTCTCTGTATCTTCAGCACATCCAAAAATTCCAGTTGTCCAATCTTCATCAGCAGGAGGCTCGTAGCTTTCAGGTAGCACTTGTCCACATTCACAGCATCTTTGAACATTCAACTGCACAATAGTAAGCAAAATCATCAACAAGCATTTAAAAATGCAGATAATCTTGCATTACAATAAAAAAAAACTTGTTTGCTCCTCTCTCTAAAAGCGGTTACACATTTTCTTGTTAAAATATCTTAATTGATTTGAAAATAAACCCAAAAATTCATTAAAATAGAGAGAAATCTCCCTCTTTTTCTCTCTGCTTTTATACACATTATATTCATTTATAAATCCTACCAGATCAAATAGAAAGAAGACATCGTTTCATAACCGCATCAACATAATATTCAACAAGAAGAAAAACAAATAGAACAACACAAAACCTGAGGAACTTCAACAGGTTGATTGAGTTCTCCAGGGGTGATGTCTTCAGAAGGTGTTTGATCTCGCGTCAACTTAACGTAACGGGACTGCGCGTGTCCGTCCGCCATCTGATCCAACAAGACTTTCAGTTTGAAAATTCAAGCATCAGTGAATAGTGAATACACAAAACATAATAGGTATTAAAAATAGATTAATTTAGAGAAGAGGAAATGTGAACCACACGTATGTATAAGGAGAGAGATGAGAAACGTTGCGAGAAGAGCACTGATCACTCCCTGAATTTCGACCAACTGTTTCCTGATTTCTTTAACGGCGTTTATGCTTTTATACCCCGTTTTCTGTATAAAACCAATTTGAAAACGCATTCAACATTTTGAACTTCACCAATTACCCTCATTCTCATGTGACGTCGTCGTTTTATGATAAGTTACTTCTCTTGGGTTCTGTTTAAATAAATTATGGATCATGTTTTTCGTTATAGACGTTGCGTTTCATATGTATCTCATTGTAATTTGAAAATTAAATAATTTCATCAACATTGCATTATTCAAATAGAGTTCAATTTGAGGGATTTTTTAGAGCTTTCACATTCACAAGACTTTTGTAACCAAGACTCGTGCATAATACAAATAAAGATTATAAGGAAACTATACTTAAGCTTTCTTGAATTCTTTAAATCTCTTAGTTGGAACTCTACTTTTCCCTCTTTTAAATATAATATATATAATATATATATATATATATATAATATATATATATATATATATATATATATATAAAAATCAAGAATATATAATATATATATATATAAAACAAAAATATATTAAAGAGAAAAAAGATATATATATATATATATATATCTTTTTTCTCTTTAATATATTTTTGTTTTATGATCGGAGTGTCCAAGCTAATTTATGTATACTTTAACTAATCCTCGAGATTTTAATATTCCAAGTTAAATTACAAATATGATAGGTGACCTTACAGTAATTAGATCCTATAACAGTAATACTACGTTTACCGAGTAAGTCACCGATTTTCACATACCGATACACTTGCCCAATTACCAAAAATCTCAAAATTTAACTTAATCAGTATGTCAAATCGGTACCTTTATCGGTAACTCAAGCATTATTGATCCTATAAAGTCAACGAAGGAGCAAACTTTCTTGATCGACCAACCCCTCAAGGTTTCCTCTTTAATATTACATTACTTTGAAAGGGGAGATCAAATTGGATTGGTTAGCAATACCACTTCTAGGTCCCCTCTTTCAAGTAGTCATATAAACTCTCGGTAGGAGCTCAAGTGCTCAACCCATGTAGTGGAATAATTTGGAAGTGTTTATTTATTTTAACATTGTTGTGGCTCAACTGAGTGTCACCGGTTGGAACACTCTACTTAGGTCTTCTTTTATATAAACTAAGACAAAATCCACTATGCAAAATCCATCTACAAAAGCTTCATATGTAACAACCACATATTTGGATAACACAAAATCTATCAAAACCCTTCAATTTAGAATGCACGAGGTAAACGAGGTGAAAGCAAAGCATCTTGGGTCTTATGTTTTTTGGTAAGATTTCTAAATCACTTTTTTGAGTCTGTGTAGCTAAAGATGTTAATGTTCTCGTGTTACCGTAAAAATGGTAGAACACCATAGAAACTTCACTGACTTTATCATAAACCTTGATTTCACTACTCTCAATAAGAATCCGGAATAGCGGAAATCGGTTCGTGTTCCGCTTCCAAAGTCAGTCGTCTTTGCCCAAGTGTGAACTGTTCTGGTGGTTTTATTTCCTCTTACTTAAGTTCTGGTTCAACCCAAGCGGTAGGTTGTAGGGCCAGCCAAAAAGCAGTTCACTTTGTACGTTTTCTGAGGCAGACCAATCAGGCATTTTAGAAAAGGGAAGGGAACTTCTCACCGAAGGAAGCAGTACGAATCTTTTTTTTTCACAATTATCTCAACAGAGTGTTGACACGTACTAATATAATTGGCAAGAGCTGAGCATAGGGTTCACAATTTCGAATAAAACTCTCTCTTTTTCTTATCCCTACAAGCTTAACTGAAGTGGAAAAATCTTAAACATGGGAGGAGGAACCATGCGCATAGACCTTCCTATGATTCAGTTCTCTACTCCATCAAACCCTCCCCCTCTTCTTCCTCTGGCTTCTTCTAATCTTAACTTTCTAAATTCTGCCAATCAAACTCCTGCTCCTCTCATAGAATCTTGTGCTGCTTTCTGCTCCTCCCACACTAGTAGAAAACTAGAGTCCGTAGAAGGGACAGGAGATAAAAGAGCAGGTGGGTCCTTAGATTATACGGCGTTCTATTCTGTCCCATCAAAATTCGAAGTCGAAAATGCGGTAGCCGCTCTTCAGCAGTACTCCAGGTTTACAATTTTACAATTACTAGTTTAAATGAATCAATTGTGAATTCTTTGTAGTAAGTTATTGAATAACTCTCATCTTTTTTTCTTTCTAAGAACCTTATTAACTCAAGGTTGTGGAATCGTTCGTGATACTTTTCGTCTGCTGGTGACTGACCCATCAGTCAAGGTGCCTTATTTTCATTCTTACTTATTATCATTTANCAAAAAAAAATGTTCGATTCTTCGATAAGAGCAGAAGAGGGCCTATAGCTCATTAATCCATGCCTGTTGGTGGAGGTGATACACCTAGATCGAGGAATATAGTCCATTACACACTAGGGCCAGCCCATAAAAGAAAATATCGTTCTATAATAAATGAATTGTCTCACACGCTCTGAAGTCTTGGGACTGATCTTACCATTGGGACTGCGCCTAAGATCAATCCTAACCTACTTATAAGACGTTAATAACCGATTTCATTTCTTAGGACAAGCAGCCAATGAGTGTAATTATAGGCCTTACCGCATCCTCTTCCGCTAGTAGCCACTGCTGCTTATAATTCCCCTTTCCTAGAAGAAATTCTTATGCTAGGTTCGCCCTCTTCTCTTGGCCACTGGATCGAATCCAATAACTGTAATTTCACCTCTGGCCCCGATTGAGCATCCAAAAACTCCACCTTCTGCTTCAGTCGTGACTACATTCTCAGATTCCGGAAATAATCATCTTAAAAATACGAGTTCTTCTTTCTCTCTCCTTTTAATAGCCAACTTTCTTACCCCAGCCAGGTAATAGACTTCTGAGATGGGATACCGAGAATCAAAGGTTTTTATACTATTAGCGCTAATGGTAAGAAGAAGAAATTGGGGTCTCGTCAATAGTTTTTAAAATTCGATTTCTGCTTCTTTTTAAGGAAGAACCGCAGCTATCTCGGCTGTTGGAGGAGAGAGAACTCTTTGCTTTGAATAGAATAGTTAGCCGCTCGGGGCAGAGATTCTTCTCTTAAAAAAACCAATGGGGAAGCTGGAAGCGAGGGACAAAAGAAAAGGTCAAAGGCAAGATAGTTCAGTGAGCCATTAGCTATGGTTCCGCAAAGAAAGTAATTAGCTCCGGTCCGGTGAATAGGAATCGGAGCTCCCATTTCATCAGCTCTTGTGATAATATCCCATCCATCCCCCCCCTTTACATGGTCGAATGGTTGGAGATCGCGAGGACACATTGAACTACGCTTGGATAGGGCTTTATGTAATTCTTCGTGGCTAGATCATTGGTCAATCTCTAATTGTCAGACTCTTCCAAGGCTGGTTTCTGATCGCAATCCTCTTATTTTCACTGCTTCAAAATTGATTCCTTCAGGGCCGCGCCCGTTTCGCTTTCAATCCATGTGGCTGCTTCATGAGTCTTTTATGGAGGTTGTTTCTTCATGTTGGAAAAGCACTATGGTTCTGGGTTGTCCTATGTTTGTAATTCCTTATAAATTGAGAGCTCTCAAAGATTGTTTGAAATGCTGGAACAAATCCGTTTTTGGAGATATTCATGCTACAGTTGATGAAGCCCGATCAATTCTTTCCCAGGTTCAGTTATCTAACTCTCAATTGGGTTATACCCCAGAGCGTTATGAGGAGGAGGTTATGGCTAAGGAAAATCTTCTAAATGCTCTTCAAAAGCAACATATTTTTTGGAAAGAGAAGTCTCGTATATCTTGGTGGAGACAGGTGCACTAAATTTTTTCATAATTATGCCAAGATCAAACGTGCTCAATCTTTTATTCATTCTCTTAATATTGATGGTCATATGGTGGAGGATCCGCAAGTTATTGCTGATCATATTGTTTCTTATTATAAGACTTTATATTCTTCTACGGATTCTTGCGAGGCTTTTGCAGGCATGGCTTCCATTGTTCCTTCATTGGTTACAGAAGATGACAATAGCTTCCTTACAACTATACCTTTAGATGAAGAAAAAAAGTGCCCTATCCGCTTGTATATTACGAGGATGTTACAGGATAGTACTCTTCGAATCTTCTTTATCTTCTCCGGTCAAGCACAAGTCAAGTAAGTAAGTGAGCTCTCCAGACCAGGCAGTGTCAGTCCATTCGTAGTCGCTTACTTCCGCCTGTCTGCGAGCGAGCTCGAATGATCAGGGTTGCTCTTATGTAAGGTAAATATTTTCTCTCTATAAATATAGTCAGGGAAGACATTTACTTCAAAGAAAAGATAGAAGAAGGGAAAAGTGAAGTAAAGTGTCAGTTCCTTTCTGATTTCCGGGGGCAAAGTTATGAATTCTATTCGAAAGACCTATCCCCTTGTTTATCGACTTTAGGAGACGAGATAACAAGCAAACAAGGCTATTCCAGCGGATCGATCGATAGGGTCCTCACTTGACGACTATCGAAATGGCTTTTTCGCATGGCAGGATCCCTATCCCTGATCCAGATAGCTGGACAATTCTCGCTATATCACTATATTGGCAGACTCTAGGATAGGTGGAGACTCGTCTTCGTGTGCCANCCATCAAACAACAATCAACCCAACTCACATCCTAAACCAACAACTTCAACAAATGCAAGTCAAATCGACTGAAATTTGAGACCAAATAAATAGTAGAATCAATTTATAGGCTGGGTTTTCAAAGTCTTCAATGGCAAGAATGGTTAGGATGGGTTTGGAGAAGATGAATGAATGTCTAGGGTTTATTTATATATGAGGACATTTTCATCATTCAAATTTGTATATAATTGGATTGTACTATTTCTTGAGAAGGTTTTAAAAAAATGCTAGTTTTTAATTTCCTACCAAAAAGTGTCATTATATATATATATATATATTGAATAGTGGTTTAAGCCAGGAGTAATGCTACATTTACACCACTTTTTTACATCATTTTCATTACATCATGATGTGGTATATGTCACAACCACACAAATTCTATTATAATATTAAAAATTCAAAATAATTAAAAATTTGTGTGGTTGTGGCATATGTTACATCATGATGTAATTAATATGGTGTAAAAGAGTGCTGTAAACGTAATATTACTCTTAAGCCAGCTTGAAGATTGATCAGCTAATGCAGCGGCATAATGTAATCTCATCATGAATAAGAAACCGACAAATCTCGATCCTTGGATCAACAACTAGAGCCTTGTTGAGCTCTAACACAATATCTCTATAGTATCTCACGTACTTTTTGAGTGGTGCATCAAGTGGCACCACATATCCGTTCCATAGGGTGTTACCATATCCACTCACTCCTCCAACCTTCACTAGCTCAATCAGCCTCTTGTGGTAGTTAAGGTAGTTATCCTTTTCCGCATCAACAAATATGAAATCAACGCTACCATGATATTCTTCCAGCAGGTATTTTAATTTAGATTAAATTTCTGATAACTTCATCATAAATTTAGAGTAGCCAAGTAGTTTGGTGATGTTTTATACTTGTGAATTATTCAAAAGCAAAAATCAAACATTCAAAGAGAAATTAGAGAAGAGAGAAAACGAGGGTTCGGGTTTCTCATTGCAAAAGAAGGGAAAATACAATAAATCTACAAAAGAGAGAAAAGGAAATAATATAGTCTTACAAGGCAAAAATAATAAAAGACTAAACTACCCTTATAGTAAATATATAATAACTCTATCATCCCTCCTTAAACTCACGATGCGGCTATAGAAAGCATCGAGAGTTTGCCAACTAGAAAACGAAAACGTGAAACAGGATGCGACTTGGTAAAGAAGTCAGCAAGTTGCAAGGAAGAAGAAAGAAAAGGCAAAGTAATGGTGCCATGCTTGAGGTGGTGACGAGTAAAATGACAATCGATCTCGATGTGCTTGGTTCGTTCATGAAAAACGGAGTTGTGAGCAATCTGAATAGAACTCTAATTATCACAATACACAGAGTGGGATAAGAAAGTAAAACACCCATATCTGCAAGTAAACAATGTAACCAAACAATCTCTTTGGTAGTAGATGTCATAACACGATACTTTGCTTCGCAGTAGATTAAGAAACAATAGTTTTCCAAGAAATAAGAGATTCATCCAAAAAGATACAAAAACTAGTTACAGTTTTGCAATCCGTAGAATCATGACCCCAATCAGCATCAGAGTATGCACGCAGCTCCAAGGATGAGGTGGATGAAAGTCAAAGATTCTGAAAGACGCGAAGATACCGCAAAATACGAAGAACAGCTGCCCGGTAGTAGGAGAAGCAACAAACTGACTGACAATATGAACAGCATATGCAATGTCTGGACGAGTGATAGTGAGGTAGACCAAACTGCCAACAATAGTGCGATATAAAGTAGGCTCTAATAAAGGAGTTCCATCAGAAGGAGTATACCGAACATTGAGCTCACAAGGAGTATCTATAGACTACAAGTTTAGTATCAGTGAGACAAGTACGCTCAAGGATCGACGATGTACTTAGATTGAGAGAGAAGATAACCTTTTGGAGAAGAGGCAACTTCAATACCTAGAAAGTACCGTAGAGAACCTAAATCCTTCATTTCAAACCGACGGGCTAATTCTGACTTCAACACTGCAATCCCATCAACATCATCACCAATAATAATCATATCATTAACATATAAGGAAAACAAAATACGACATGTAGTCGTACACTTGATAAAGAGAGTCGAGTCATGATTACTGGAGGAAAACCTGAGAGTTGTGATCACAGTAGAGAACTTCTCAAACCAAGCTCAAGGTGCCTGTTTGAGGCCATATAAAACTCTTTTAAGCTTACAAACTTCTTCATGTTTATGACAGACACTAGACGGGGGAACCATGTAAACTTCTTCATGTAGATCACCATTCAAAAAAACATTCTTAACATCCATTTGAGATATATGCCATTAACGAGCAGATGCAACTGCAATAAGAGTACGAACTGTAGTCATTTTTGCAACAGGACCTGGAAGGACCTCATAATCCATACCATACTGCTGAGAAAACCCCTTAGCAACCAATTTAGCTTTGTAGCACTCAATGGACCCATCAGATTTGGTCTTGATTCTATGGACCCAGTGAGAACCAATTGTACTTTTACCAGAAGGTAAAGGTACCAAATCCCAAGTATCTGTCTTTTGCAAAGCAGAAAGTTCCTCATTCATAGCATGCTGCCAAAGGGGGTCAAGAACTGCCTCTTTATAGGATAAGGGCTCAGAGAGACAATGAATAGATGCTAAAAAGGAAGAAAAAGAAGTGGAATAAAAAGAGTAAACAAAATCTGGTAGGTGAGTAAACTTACGAGTACGTTAAGGATAATGAGGAGAATCCACAATCTCGGGAGGAATTTGGGCAACTGCAGGAGGAGTGGAAGTATTGAGAGGTCTAGACTGCGAGGTACCAGTATCTTTAGAACTAACAATGCTATTTTCTCTTCGAGAATAATGAAGAGGAAAAAGGGCTATAGGAGCAATAGATGAGTTAGAACCTGCAGTGGAAGGGACTTATGGAGGAAGGCTATCTGTATGGACAAAGAAAGGATCAATATGAATGAGATTAGTTTTGGTCAAGTTGTGAGTAGTAACAGGAATAAAAAACAAAGGTATATGCTCAAAGAACAAAACATGGCGAGATACATATAGTTTTTGTGAAACTGGATCAAAACAACGATATCCCTTTTGCTCTTCACTGTAACCAAGAAACACACAAATGGTAGAGTGTGACGATAATTTAGTACACTCTACACGAGGAAGAAGGACAAAACAAGTAGAACCTAAGACTCTCAAGAATGAATAATCAGGAGCATGCCCATATAACTTTTCAAAAGGTGACAAACCTGAAGTGTGAGACGATTGGATTTTATTGATTAAATTGATTGTAGTAAGCATTGCTTCTCCCTAAAATTCACTGGAAACAAAAGAAGACAATAAAAGAGAAAGGGCAGTTTCAACAATGTCCTATGTTTTCTTCAGCAACACCGTTTTGCTTAGGAGTGTCTCTATAAGAAGTTTGATGAATAGTTCCATCTAAAGTAAGTAATTCACAAAATTTATTGGAAGTATATTCACCACCCAAATCACATCTAAAACACTTAATAATAGTAGAGTGTTGTGTTTTTACAAGAGCTCGAAAGCTATTATAAATGCTAAAGAAGTCAAAACAACGTTTCATAAGATAAACCCAACAAAAACGAATGTGATCATCAATAAAAGAAACATAATATCGAGAACCCCCTTTGTTACTTTGGGTAAAGGTCTCCACACATTATAATGAACTAAATCAAACGGTGCAATAAAACAAGAAGTACTTTGATTAAAAGGCAAAGTAGAAAATTTTGCAAGTTTTCAACCACTACAATCAGAAATATCACGAGTTTGCAAATTTCCTAAGACTCTTATAGAGGCTAAAAATCTTAAGTTGGAAGCTGAAACATGACCAAGACAAAAATGTCATAAATAAAAGCTAGAAGTTGAAGGACACAAATGAAAAGAAGACAAGTCAGCACTAGGAACTACAAATATTGGTAATCTCAGCTCATCTAAAACATATAATCCCCCTTGCCTACGGCTTGTCCCAATCAGCTTTTAGGACAACAGATCCTACACATGACAAGAGGTAGAAGAAAAAGAGACTAATTAACTAGAATCACAGAATTGACTAACAGAAATAAGGTTCAATTTTAGCTTAGGAATGTGGTAAACATTAAAAAGAGATAAATGAAGTTTGATAACAAAACCAACCCTTGCTAATGGCATATGAGCACTATCAACAGTCATGATAGATATAGATGATGATGGATACAAGGAAACAAAGGATTTCAAACCAAGAGACATGGTGTGAAGCTCTAGAATCTAAAACCCATGTGGAGGAGGACATACCTAAAGAACTAAGAGGTAACTGACTTGTAACTGACTTATCGGAGAAGAAGTGGACATAGCATGCAGCTGTGTAGCAAGGAACTTCTGAAACTACTCAGTAACGGACGCAAGTGTGGGATTTAAGGATGAGGCTCCAAATCCAAATGAGTCTGATGGTGGTGCAATTGTTGCATTATTATACTATGAAGGTCGATATGGTTGTGCTTGCGATTGGTTGCTAAACTGTGGAGGCTTGAATTGATGCTTCTGTTGGTGTGATTGTGGTCCTATATTCAATAACTTAGGACATTGGGCCTTCCAGTGATACTTTTGTTTGCAAAAATTGCATTCACCAATCCCAACCTTTGAGTGAGGCTTGTTCTCATAGTGGGCAGGAGGCCTAGAAAGAACTGCCAAAACAAATGGATTAGGTGTCAAGAGAATTCCTTTTTTTGCCCGAAATTTAAGGTGTATCTCATCAACCAAAAGTTCGTTGACTACCGACTCAACAGAAGGAAGCGGGTTATGATGTAAAATAGAACCACAAAGTTCCTCAAAATCATTACGAAGTGCCATCAAGAACTGAACTAGACATCGTTCCTCTCTACGAGCAATATAAGTTGCACAAGCTAGTAATTCTACTGATTCTGTAAGAGTCAACTGATCCCAAAGGTTTGTCATTTCAGAATAGAACTCTTGAATACTCATGTCTTTTTGTTCAAGAGCTCGAATGTCAGATTCTAACTGGTATTGCTTTGCAAAGTTAGACTGTGTATACAGTCTTGCCAGATGTTGCCAGATCTCTTTCGTTATTTCATACTTTGTCAATTGGGTTCTTATTGAGTGTTCCACCTAGTTGTTTATCCAAGTGATAATTTTTGAATTATCTACTTCCCAAATATCTAACAACTTTGCATAATGATCTTCTTTCTAATTTGTGAGTTTACCTGAAGTTCCAAAAATATAACCCTACATCTTTTTCCCTTTAAGAAAATTTCTTATGACATAACTCCAATATAAAAAATTCTTCCCATTCAATTTTACACTAATAGACTGCAATGAATCATTATTTTCAGAAGCAATCACAGAGAGAACTAAATACCAGAATCGAAGAAAAGAGGGCAATGAGAAAATAAAAGAACCGTTCAAGGAAAAATAGTAAAACAACCCTGAAAGTCTGAAATAATTTAAGACATCCCCCAACATTTGAAAAACTGCAAACAATCCCATACGAATACTTTATGGGTTTGAAAACTTGCAAACATACCCCTGTAATCAGGGTTTCTTCAAGTTGACATAGTCCACCACAAATTCAACTCCATCATGACCCGAAAAATCATAATCAGGCCAACCAAACAACAAACATAGCACACCACCGCAAACAACCACAAATTACCCATAAACTCACCCACAAACTACCAGAATCTTAGCCACAAACCAAGCAAAAGACCACCACAAACTCACATACAAACCCAGCTAAAAACCACCATAAACTTAGCAACAAACCACCAAAACATCACCACAAATCGAGTTACAAATCTCACCCACAAACCCAACAAAACTCTGCATTTGTTCTTGGAGAGATTGAACTAACTTCCATAATCAAAGCTCTAATACCATGTGAATTATTCAAAAGCGAGAATCAAACATTCAAAGAGAAATCAAAGAAGAGAGAAAATGAGGGTTCGGGTTTCTCATTGCAAAAGAAGGGAAAATACAATAAATCTACAAAAGAGAGAAAAGGAAATAATATAGTCTTACAAGGCAAAAATAATAAAAGACTAAACTACCTTATTGTATAAAAGACTAAACTACCGTTATAGTAAATATATAATAACTCTAACAATACTTACTTCTTGGATCATTTGATAAAGAAAGGGAAGAGTCAGGCCTTCACTAAAGTCAATCTTGTGAACTACACCAGCCTTTTGAATTACAGGTAAACACAGTTCATAGTTTTCCAGGTTAATATCCATAGCCAATATCTGCACAAACATCCAGCTCAACATGATTTAAATTTTACAATTTTTTTTTTTTTTAAATAGAAGAAAAATCATTTTCATTATTTGCTATGAATTTGTAAATCCTTCTTTTCAAGAGCCAACTTTTTGATAAGTGTTCAATAATTGCTATTTTCAATCCCTTTATATCAATCTTTGTGATATATTTTGTGATTAATTGAGCTAATTAATATATTTTCTAAATTAGGAAAGGAATGGAGGCATGTGAATGAAAGTGGAGCTTAATGTGCAACTTTCAGACATTGGCAGAGTCGAACTTTGAAGGTTCAGTGGAGACTTTGACAATCTTAGAGTTCCAGAATGAGAAAGAGGTCTTCTTGAGGTCTGAAGTAAACATCTTGAGCTTTTTAAATTAGGCTTATGCGTTTTAATCCTAGTAGATTTTGGTATTCAAAGTTTACATCGAGGTTAGAAGATCCAATCCCTTTACAGCTTTGGCACCAGTCAGTAATTGGGCTATAACTTGAGTTCTAGAAGTCCAATTGAGATACTTGAAGATGCGTTGGAAAACTTATAACTAGGGCTACAACTTTAATGAACAGACTAGGCCAGAATTCAGTTGTTTTCTAACCCGAAGTCAACTCACAAGTTCCAGCTGAAAATTAGCCAACCTGTTTTGGAAAGAGTGGGACTCAAGGCCTACAATTTACGAATTTGAGTTGTAAACCTTTTGGGAGGCTGTACATACGTTTTTAGGGTTATTTGAAGGGGCTATAAATAAAACATTAGGTTTTCAAAGTAAAAAAAAAAACACACACACACACACACAAGGGGATTATTCGAAAACACTTAGGGTGCGTTTGGCTCATTATTCTGATACTTTTTAGAATAATATTTTGAAAAAAGTAAAGTTGGGTGGTTATTACGAGGTAAGATTTAAAAATTAACAAAAACACTCCCTAGGTTTGTTAATTTACTAAACACCATTGTAATAAAACAATAAAAATTAACAAAAACACTCCTACCCACCCATTAAATACCGACAACCGGCCACGACCGTTGGAGGGTGGCCAGAGTTGCCATATCGACGAACAACTGATTGGATTTGTCCAATCGTGCGCCGATATGACTTTTTTCCAACTAGATCCACCATGGATCTAGCTGAAAAAAGCCAAATCTATGGCTAGATCTGGCCATTGACGATCATATCTAGCCGCGTTTGGTGGTCAATAATAGCCAAAGATATGGTCAATGACAGCCATATTTTGGTCGTCATTAACGACTAACGGCTAGATCTTTGGTCGTAAATCTGGCCAGAAAAGGCTAGATCAGCACACTACTGGCTAAATCCAGTCCGTAGGTTGCTATTATACCAAATTCCAGCCATTCCGGCGGTGGTGGCCAAAATCTGGCAAATGTGGGTGGGTAGGGTATTTTTGTTAATTTCTAAACTTTTTTTAAGGGGTGTTTGGTTAAATTAACAAACCTAGGGGGTTTAAAAGTAATTGAATAAAATAGAATAGTATTTTTAGAATAAGAAAACAAATGTATATTTTGGGTAGGATAGGAAAAAAAAATTGAAACAAACGCACCCTTGTTGTTATGAATTTATGATGCTTGGCTAAATTCTTTCAATTCAATTCAAGGGGATTTCAATTCCTAACACATATCGATGGTATAATTAATAAAATAATGTAATTTCTTACCTTTCTATAGATTTGATTTATGTTATTCTGTTTTAATGGAATATGATATTTGATTCGTTTAATTTACTTCAGGCTTGATAGATTGATTGAATTGATATCGATTGCTAGAATTAGGGATTGTATTATATACTCGATCTTTTCCTAATCACGCAGTAGCAATTAGTAACAGAAGATTATGGATAAACTTTCTATTTTATTACTTGAATAACAAAACCTAAGTTTAATAATCCAAGCTTGTGAGATTATTGCTTAGATTAACCTATTCCATTGGAACTTAAAGCAACCATTACATTAAATCTAGAGAGCTTGTTCTAGGTTTTCTAATGGTTAGAGACTGTTAAAGAGCATGTTTCATTAGTCAGTATTAAGGGGAATTTTGGGTAGTAAAGCTTGTTACTACCTAGGGTTGATACTTCCATGAAAGGATAGGATTGCGTTACAATTGAGAATATACATTGATTGTGAGGATAAACCGAGAACTGAAGTTGTTTTTATATTGATTTTCATTCATAATTTTGTTTTGGTAATTAATTAGTTTCCTTGATTTTACAAACCCCCCAGTTTATATTTTGGTTATTTAGGATTGAATTTTAAACAGTTGGAATTTAAATTCAACTACTTCCCTGTGGGATCGACCCTTACTCACGCTATCTACTGGTTAATAATTAGAAGTAAGGTTTATTAATTTTGTAGTGTTGACGACATGCTATCAAAATTTGGTGTCATTGCAGGAGAGGTGGTTTTGTGTTAATTTTTATTCAAGTTTTCTTAATAGTTATAGTCAGTTAATAGTAGTGTTAGTCTGTTGTTTTTAACTTTGTTTGTGGAGAATTGTGATTTTCAGGATTTTGGAAATTTTCGATAGTACTATTCACTATAGAATTTTCAGTGGAATTAGGAGCGTTGCAAGTACTTGTTTCGAAGAAAACAAAATTCTGAACAGTACTAGTGTTTTCAGCCAGTAAGGATTCAGTGGCCCTACCCTGTCGAGGCTAAAAAACAACGTTTGATAGGGTTTGAGGCCATTTTTGTGTTTTTGGCCATAAAAATAATTTTTTTATTTAGAATTTCTAGTTGGTTTTCATTCTTTGTCATATATTTATTTATTTTTTTACGTGAGTTTTTCGTTTATGACCAAGTCCTCTCATCTTGAGGACTTAACATTCAATCTAGAGATCGAACAAACTGCATGTAGGTTGAGGAAAGAGGCTCTGCAGAATCGAGAGCAAGTTATTGTTTCATTGCCTGGCATCAACATAGCCCTTGATTTAGCATCCAACAGTTCCTTTAGCAATTCAGAAGAAGAGGAAATCATGGCTGCAAATAACAGGACCTTGAAGGAGTTTGCTGCTCATGCTTTTAATTAACAACTGTTATGCATAAAATATCCTGCTTTAGATGTAGCTTTTGAGCTTAAATATAGAATAATTCACTTACTGCCTAAATTTAGAGGTCTTGCAGGTGAGGATCTGAACAAGCACTTGAAAGAATTTCATGTTGTATGCTCGAGTCTGAGATCAATTGGAGTATCGGAAGAGCATATTAAGTTGAGAGCTTTTCTATTTTCTTTGGTGGATAATGCAAAGGATTAGATCTACTATTTACCATCAAGGTCAATCACAACATGGAATGAGATAAAAATGATGTTCTTAGAGAGGTACTTCCCAGCTTCCAAGGCCGCAAATATAAAGAAGGAGATTTGTGGCATTCGTCAATATATTGGAGAGACCTTGTACAAATATTGGGAAAGATTCAAGAAGTTGTGTGCAAGTTGTCCTCATCATCAGATAAGTGAACAACTACTGATTCAGTACTTTTATGAAGGTTTACTTCCCATAGACAAAAGCATGATAGACGCTGCCGGTGGATGAGCATTGGTAGATAAGACATCGGAAGTTGCCAGAAATTTAATTTCTAATATGGTAGCGAACACTCAACAATTTGGAAATAGACAAGATTCTCCCACCAGAAAAGTAAACGACATAAGTACATCTTCACTTGAACAATAGATATCTGGCCTTACTTCTACGGTTTGATAGATGGCTGTGGGAAATGTGCAACAAGCTAAGCTATGCAGTATATGTGCAACATTGGGGCATCCAACCAATATGTGTCCCGTTTTACAAGAAGAGCAAGTAAATGCTATGAGAGGATTTCCTGTATAACCAAGGAAATATGATCCCAACTCTAACACTTATAATCCAGGGTGGAGATATCACCCTAATCTGAGTTATGGGGGAAATAGGCAGCCAACACCAAATGCATATCAGAATAAGCCGCCTAGATTCCAGTATCCTCGACAGCCATATTAGCATACACAAGCAACACCACCTAGTTCAAATTCAGGTACGTCCCTTGAAGATACATTTAAAACTTTTTTGACTCGTACTCAACAATTTTAACAAGAGACAAGAGCGATTATACAAAATTTGGAGAACCAGGTGAATCAACTAGCTACTACAGTAAACAAATTGGAGGCTCAAGGCTCAGGTAAACTACCTTCTCAAACAATAGTAAATCTGAGGGAGCATGCGAGTGCCATATCTTTGAGAAGTGGAAAGCAGTTAGAGGCACCATCTAGGAAGAAAGCATTTGATCCAGTCATTGAGGAGGAAATAGAAAAGGAGGCCAAAATTTCTCCACCTAAGGTAACTTCTAATCCTTCTGTTGTAATTAAAGTTAATCCCCTTCCTTTTCCATCTATGTGTGTAAAGTCCAAGAAAGAGGAACAAGAGAAGGAAATTCTTGAGACGTTCCGCAAGGTAGAGGTAAATATACGTTTACTAGATGCAATTAAGCAAGTGCCAAGGTACGCGAAATTTCTTAAAGAATTGTGCACAAATAAGAAAAAGTTAAGGGATGATAAAAATGTGAGTTTGGGGGAGAATGTGTCAGTAGTTCTTCAAAGGAAGCTACCCCCTAAGTGCAAAGATCAAGGTATGTTTACCATTCCATGCAAAATAGGTATACCAAATTTGAAAGGGACATGCTAGATTCAAAAGCATCTATTAATGTCATGCCAAAATTCATTTATGCTTCCTTAAATTTAGGACCATTGAAAAATACTGCTGTTATTATACAACTGGCTAATCGTACTAATACTTACCCTAAAGGGGTGATTGAGGATATGTTAGTGCAGGTAAATGAGTTAGTATTTCCTACAGATTTTTATATTATAGATATGGATGATGATAATTCCCCTAACCTGCACCTATATTATTGGGGAGACCATTTTTTAAAACAACAAGAATTATGATTGATGTGCACGAGGGTACCTTAATGATGGATTTTGATAGTGAAAAGATCCAATTCAATATT